ATACATACCTATAAAACCAACTTTATATACAAACTCCTAAGTCAAAACTATATACAAAACAATTATTCAAAAAGGAACCCTAGTAAAAAAAAGTTTTTTAACGCGCTATATACGCATCGGTTTTACTGAAACCGAAGCGAATAAAAGTGCGGTGGCATTTTCGTAGTTTTAGCGAAAGTATATGTCTCGGTTGTCAAGCAATCGATGCTTAAAGGAGGATAATGTCTCGGTTCTATGAACAACCGAGACAGAAAACCCTGCTACCCACATGCAAAGCGAAATTTTCACCTGCCAGACTTTTTGAAATAGGGTTATTGCCTCGGTTCTCTGACCAAGCGAGGCAAAAAACACTGTTAAATAGTACTTTTGACCTGACAGTCTTTCTAAAAAAGGGCTACTGTCTCGGTTGGTTAAAGAATCAAGGTAGTAGAGATTGACAAAAGGTATTTGAAACTTTCTATGCACTGACAACCCATGATTCAAGACGTTTTTTCGCAAGCTTTACGACTTCAGTTGCCCCCTAACCGAGGCAATATGTTGTTTATGCTTCGGTTTTGAAGCTAAACGAGGCTTATAGTTATTAACAATTTTATTTTTAAAATTGTCTAGGGGTTTACGCCTCAGTTGCAATTTTGACTGAGGTAGTAAGGGTGTTATTGCCTCAGTTTAGTGGAGAACCGAGGCAATAACCCATTTAAATTTCAGAAAACGTGAAACAGAAGCACTCTTTCGTTGTTCATCTTCTCCCCCGCGAAACAGAAAACTTTCTCCGCCGCGACCATTGCTACTCTTTCTCTTGTGCTTCCATCGGTGGTGATTGCAATTCTTCTTCCTCAAGCACACAACAACCATCGTTCTTCTTATTCCACCGCAGCATTTCCTTCTTCTTCTTCATCTTCCTCGCGCCTTGCCTATTCCGCCATAGTCGCTGCTGTCGCGAGACCATTGCCCCAAACTGGCATGCGTCCGCAATCGCCACCTATGCGCGACCATCCCCCAACCGTTGTTCGCCATTTCTGCCGAGCCTTGCGTCTAACGCCATTGCTGCCACGCTCCTAGGTTCATTACTCTTTCCATTTTTTGCGTTTTATTGTTTGATGATTATTGAGATTACTGTCTAAAGACAGTAATCGGCTCTTTTAGTTTAAAATTCCTGTTGTTCCCTTTTTCCCAAAGAACTCTATAAATAGAGTTCTCCCCCTTTTCATTTCAGTTGTAACAAATAACTCATAACCAGATATCATTACTGTAAATAAAAGCAAGAGTGTTTTCTTACCTCCGATGAAGCCTTTGTACTGATCAGATCTTCCCTTCCCGGATGTCCATGACTGCACTATTCTGGAGGGCGCCATTTTACTTCTCTCTCTAGCGCCTGGAAGAGCCTTAGGCTCTTTCTCTCTTCGCTGTCTGGGACGAAGGATGTTTCTTCGTCAGCGTGCCTTTCCAAGATAGACATTATGTCTTCTCACGGGCCTTTGTCACAATTGGGCCGCCCAATCCTCAGAAACATATTGGGCCATATTTTAATATGGTATCAAAGCAGGTTTTAAAACCTGCATTGCTTCTGCTACCTCTGTTTCCAAGTCTAGCATCAATTCTTGGACTATTTCTTGTTTTCTTTTTGATTGATTTCTACTGATATGGAGCACATGGATCAATCTGCTAACCCTACCAGCCCTTTCTACTTGCATCCTGGGGAGAATCCAGGACTCACTCTCATCTCTCAAGTTCTAAATGACAACAATTACTCTTCCTGGAGCAGAAGCATGAGGAGGGCTCTCCTTTTCAAGAATAAAATCAAGTTTATTGCTGGGTCAATCAAGAAACCTCAAAGAAGTGAGGTTTTGTTCGATGCTTGGGAGAGATGTAATATGATGGTTCTTTCTTGGATGATAAAAACTCTTTCTCCAAAGATTGCAGAAAGCGTAATATACGTTGAAGAAGCCAAGGAACTATGGAAAGAGTTGAAAGAAAGATTCTCTAAAGGTGACTATTTCAAAATTTCTGATTTACTCCAAGATATCCACTCAATTAAATAGGGAAAGAGAGGTGTTAGCCAATTCTTCACAGATTTAAAAATTCTTTGGGAAGAATTAGAATCCATTAGACCTATACTCACTTGTACCTGTGATATTCCTTGCAGCTGTGAGCTTTCAAAGATTTCTCTGAAGTATAGAGAAATAGAACATGTAATATGCTTCTTAAAGGGCTGAATGACACATATAATACTGTAAGAACCCAAATCTTTTTGATGGATCCTCTCCCCAACATCAATAGAGTTTTCTCCCTCATCATGCAACAAGAAAGACAAGAGAGACAAGATTTGGGCATTGTCAGCCAGAGCCAAACTGCTGAAACCAAAGTTCTGGCCAACACTGCTGAAAGAAACAATAACTGGAAAAGCCAAGGGCGTGGTAATGGACCATGTGGTCAAGGAAGGGGGAGAGGAAGGAACCCTAACTATGGAAAACAGTGCTCCTATTGCAATAAAATGAATCATACCTTTGATGAGTGCTACTCCAAACACGGTTACCCCCCTTGGTACAAGAAACCTGACAACAATCCGGACAGGAAAGGAGACTGGAACTCTGCTAATGTTTGCCAAAACAGTTCTGGTCTAGAGGGTGTTCAATCTGCTCACCAGGTCAGCACCAATGCTGCCCTCAATTCTTTTACCCCTGAACAGATGCAGAAGCTCCTCAAAATGATAGAGAAGGTTGATGAACCCACTCACAAGATTAACCAGGTGCAGAGAGACAGCATAGAGGTTAAACAAGGTATTTCTTCTTGGATTCTTGACACAGGGGCCACAGACCCTGTGACCCATGATAAGGAAAACTTTGTTACTTTTTACAAAATTAAACCTATTTCTATCAGATTGCCAAATAACACTATTATCACTGTTGAACATGCAGGAACTGTCCAATTTTCTAAAGTTTTGGTTATTTTTAATGTTCTGTATATCCCAGATTTTTGTTTCAATTTGATTTCTGTCCAAAGTCTCATCAGAGACTCAAACTGCAATCTAACCTTTTCTTTTGAGGTTTGTCAGATAAGGGAGAATTCTACATTGAAGATGATTGGGTATGCTAAAACATCCAAAGGACTCTATTATCTACAAGCCTTTCCTAACCCGGATCAAAATTACATTTCAAAATCTGTTTTCTCTTATGAACATGTTGATGTAAATTTGTGGCACTATAGGTTAGGCCACCCTGGACATAAAACTATGAAACAGATATGTGCAAAATTCCCTTATGTACAAATGAGTCCTGATATTGTTTGTGATGCTTGCCACTATGCTAAACAACATAAACTACCTTTTCCTAGAAGTAATTCTTTGACTACTGATTGTTTCCAAATTATTCGCTGTGACATATGGGGCCCTCTTTCAACTTCTTTTGTCCACGGCCATAAGTATTTTCTTACTATAGTTGATGACTATAGTAGGCATACTTGGGTCTTCTTAATGAACAATAAAGGACAGACAAGGGATTTATTGCATAATTTTATTGTCAAGATTAAAAATCAATTTGATAAAGTGATTAAAACTGTTAGATCAGACAATGGTCCAGAATTTAATTGTGTTAATTTGTATGATTTGTATGGCATTGATCACCAAAANCAAAATCTGTTTTCTCTTATGAACATGTTGATGTAAATTTGTGGCACTATAGGTTAGGCCACCCTGGACATAAGACTATGAAACAGATATGTGCAAAGTTCCCTTATGTACAAATGGGTCCTGATATTGTTTGTGATGCTTGCCACTATGCTAAACAACATAAACTACCTTTTCCTAGAAGTAATTCTTTGACTACTGATTGTTTCCAAATTATTCGCTGTGACATATGGGGCCCTCTTTCAACTTCTTTTGTCCACGGCCATAAGTATTTTCTTACTATAGTTGATGACTATAGTAGGCATACTTGGGTCTTCTTAATGAACAATAAAGGACAGACAAGGGATTTATTGCATAATTTTATTGTCAAGATTAAAAATCAATTTGATAAAGTGATTAAAACTGTTAGATCAGACAATGATCCAGAATTTAATTGTGTTAATTTGTATGATTTGTATGGCATTGATCACCAAAAGAGTTGTGTTGAGACCCCTGAACAGAACTCTGTTGTGGAGAGAAAACACTAGCATATTCTTAATGTGACCCGTAGTCTTCTTTTTCAGTCTAATAACCCTAATGCCTATTGGTCATATGCAGTTAGTCACGCTGTTTACCTGATAAATAGGTTGTCTTCCCCCATTCTTAATAACAAAACTCCTTATGATCTTGTTTATGATGCCCCCTTACCTATTTGAATCTCAAAGTTTTTGGGTGCTTATGCTTTGCTTCTATCCTTGAGAACAGCAGAAATAAGCTTGACCCAAGAGCTAGAAAGGGAGTTTTCCTTGGTTACAAAAGTGGTGTCAAAGGTTATGTTGTTCTTGATATGAACACCAAAGAACTTTTTATAAGAAGAAATGTTGTCTTCTATGAAGACATTTTTCCCTACAAAGACCAGTGTAACAGCAGGGATGTTACTGACAGAGGAGAAGGTAGAACCACCTCTCTTAATGACCTCATGGGCACTCATGACCTTATTGATGATGAAAGACATCCGGAGATGGATGCCACTGAGCAAATAGAGACGCAGCAGACTGTCACCGACAACAATAACAGTGACAATGCTGCTAATGGTGAAGAGAATCATAGCTGCAGGAGATCTAACAGGGTTAGAAAAACTCCTGAATATCTCAATGACTATGTGTATCAGGTTAATCAATCCTTGTCTATGAAAAATAATTTTAAAACCCCTTATCCCATGTCTGATCTATTGTCCTGTGAATCTTTGACAACAAAGCACTTAAAGTATACTATGGCCATTACTGCAAATGATGAGCCTCGGTCTTATAATGAAGCCAAAGGCATGTGCGAGTGGGAAGAAGCTATGTAGAGGGAAATCAAGGCCTTGCAAGACAATAACACCTAGTACTTAACACAGATGCCTCCAGGAAAGAAACCCATTGGATGTAGATGGGTATACAAAACCAAATACAATGCTGATGGTACTATAGAAAGATACAAGGCACGTCTGGTGGCAAAAGGATACACACAACAAGAAAGGATAGACTATTTAGACACTTTCTCCCCTGTTGCCAAACTCACCACTGTTAGACTACTTATTGCCCTTGCAGCCTCAAATAATTGGTTTCTACATCAACTTGACGTGGACAATGCTTTCCTTCATGGAGACTTAAATGAAGAAGTTTATATGGAACCACCACCTGGTCTTAATACCCATAAAGAGGGTCAGGTTTGTAGGCTTACTAAGTCTCTATATGGACTGAAACAAGCTAGTAGGCAATGATTTGAAAAACTGTCCTCCTTTCTCATTTCTGTCAACTATACTCAGTCAAAATCTGATCACTCTCTCTTTATCAAAGGCACTTCTACAGATTTCACTGCCTTACTTGTCTATGTAGATGACATCATATTGGCTGGAAACTCCATGACTGAAATCAACAGCATAAAGACTTTGTTGCACAACAAATTTCAAATAAAGAACCTAGGAGAACTCAAATACTTCCTAGGCTTGGAGGTGGCCAGATCTAAGAAAGGTATACACCTATGTCAAAGAAAATATGCGTTGGACATCCTTAAGGAGACAGGAATGCTGGGATGCAAACCATCTTCTACTCCCTTTTTATGTGATACAAACACACTATATAGAGCAGACAGTTACTTAGATGACCCTGGATCCTATCGACAATTGATAGGGAAGTTATTATATCTCACGAATACCAGACCTGATTTGTGTTTTTCCATTAATCTATTGAGTCAGTTTATGAAATCTCCCACTAACCATCATTATCGGGCTGTACAACATGTTCTTAGGTACATCAAGTCCAAGCCCTCAGAGGGATTGTTCTTTGGAGTTGATTCTCAAGTTCATATAAAAGCTTTTAGTGACTCAGATTGGGCAACGTGTCCAAATACTAGAAGGTCCACTACAAGGTTTTGTGTTTTCCTTGGATCATCCCTAATTTCGTGGAAATCCAAAAAGCAAAGCACTGTTTCCAGATCTTCCACCGAGGCGAAATATCGTGCCCTAGCAGCCATTGTATGTGAGATACAGTGGCTTCACTATCTCCTACAAGACCTTCAAGTACGGGAAGCTGGAACTCCTGCCCTATATTGTGACAACAAATCAGCGCGACACATAGCTCATAACCAGAGCTTTCACGAAAGGACCAAGCACATAGAGCTTGATTGTCACGTTGTTCGTGAAAAAATACAGGCCAATCTCTTACGTCTTCTCCCTGTCCGGTCGGATGAACAGCTGGCTGATGTCTTCACAAAATTTCCCCATCGCGTGCGGTTCAAATCCATTGTTCCCAAGCTTGGATTAGTGAGTATACACCATCCAGCTTGAGGGGAGGCTATTGAGATTACTGTCTAAAGACAGTAATCGGCTCTTTTAGTTTAAAATTCTCGTTGTTCCCTTTTTCCCAAAGAACTCTATAAATAGAGTTCACCCTCTTTTCATTTCAGTTGTAACAAATAACTCATAACCAGATATCATTACTGTAAATAAAAGCAAGAGTGTTTTCTTACCTCCGACGAAGCCTTTGTACTGATCGGATCTTCCCTTCCCGGATGTCCATGACTGCACTATTATGGAGGGCGTCATTCTACTTCTCTCTGTAGCGCCTGGAAGAGCCCTAGGCTCTTTCTCTCTCCGCTGTTTGGGACGAAGGATGTTTCTTCGTCAGCGTGCCTTTCCAAGATAGACATTATGTCTTCTCACGGGCCTTTGTCACAATTGGGCCGCCCAATCCTCAGAAACATATTGGGCCATAACCGTTGTTCGCCATTTCTGCCGAGCCTTGTGTCTAACGCCATTGCCGCCACGCTCCTAGGTTCATTACTCTTTCCATTTTTTGCGTTTTATTGTTTGATGATTGTGAAAAAATGTTAATGTGTATGATATGATGTGAAAGATATGTTGGATTTTAGATTTGTGAATGTCAAAGAGAGGGTTATATTGTGATTAGCATAAATTAGTTTAAGTATTTCATTGTCAATCTAATATAAATGATATTAGCATATGTTAGTTTAAGTTTTGATTAGATTAGTTTAGGTAATGATTAAATTATTTTAACATTATGATCATAATCGTTTTTGGGAATATGTAATTATTTGTTTGTTTGAATATATTCTTGTTTTGAATTAGCCTTAGTTTCTCATTTGAGATTCAATACAAAAATTATTTACTATCTCAAGATTTTTTTTTGAAGAAATGTACTTTTTACAAATGAATAGAAAGGATATGGTAATATTAATTTACTAGTATTGAATCTTGAATTGTCCGATTGGACAGTTTAAGAAGAGTAATAACTTTTTCATGGTTTATTAATACATATAAATTTTAATATACATATCTTAAATTTCATGAAAATTTGCAGTTGTATTTTGTATTAATCTTTGGATGCATATTTGATTGTTTATAATCACTTTCGTTTCGTGTAATCTAAAGACCAATGCAAAATGCTAGCAAAATTTTGTAAAATTTGTTAAGATTGTTGATAGGGGAGCAAAGGTTTAGTTTAACCCACAATCTCAGTAATATCTGATTTTTTGATGATGACTCATCACGTATTAAAATTTAAATTATTTTCTATCTTAAAAGTTATATCATATCAAAATAAAAAAAGTTATAAAGGAAAAATTATTTTAATTTTAATAAATAGCATTTTTTTTAAATTAAATTAACACTAATTTAATAAAAAAATAAAATTAAATATTAAAAGAAACTCAATTAAATACAAAAAATTATAAAGTAATAGTATTATTATGAATATTATTCAAATAATATATTTATTTTATCAAAAAGATATCACATATACTAGAAGAAATAAACTTTCATGTATGTGTCTATGTTTATATTATGATAAAAGAAATAAAAACTGAATTATTAAAGTAAATTATAAAAATATTTCATAAGTAAATAACTTTTATGATTTATTTTCATAGTTAACTAAATTTCAAAAGACAATTATAAAATCTAAATGATAAAATTTGTCTAAAAAAAGTAATTAAGAAGATAACTCCCTTAATTAATTTGCTGGTAAAATACACTTGTTTTCATATATTAATATTTTTATTACATTAAAATAATATAATTTTTAAAATACTTATAACTTTATGAATTTTATACTTGTATTATTTTTATGAATAATTAATTGAAAATAGTACTAAATAATATATTTAATTTTGTAAAAGTAATATTAAAAATTTATGCAAAACTTTTTTAAAGGGAAAATTTATTTAATTATTTTAAAATAAAGAAAGATTATTTATTTTTTATTAAGTGGAATATTTTTTATTTGTCAGTGAACTTCTGAAAAAGGAGAACAATTTTAACTGATCTAAAATCGAGGCACAAAAATAAATATTAAACTTTTTTTAAATCAAGTGATTTTAGTGCTTGTGTAATATATTATATTTTCAACAAATGGATATAGGAGTTGAAAAAATCACATATAAAAAGAACTAAGGAAAAATACATTTAATTCTAAAAGTAATTATAATAATAATATTGTATATTAAGAAAAATAAAAAATCTTACATATAATAAGACATAAAAGTTAAGTAAATTTGTTATGTTAATTAAAAATATTCCTAATACAAAAGAAAATTATATATTTATTCTTTTAGATTTTGCTAGTTATAATATTTTGCAGTTGGTCTTGCATGAATGATATATCATTTATATTATGTAGTTAATAATTGTGTCGGTAAGTGTGAGCATGATATTTTTTGTATTATTTTAGAATGATTTTACTATATATTATGTTGGGGATAAGTAACATTTGGATGAAATATCTGAATATATATTTCCATATAATCGATTTGCATATAATTTGAATTTAAAAGATATGCTAATGGTATTTATTTTCTCTCATTATTTAATTTAAATTTAAAAGATATGCTATTACTCAGATAATGTGCATACGTATATATTAGAATTATTATGCTAATGGTATATACTCAAATAAATTGTAATATTTAAAAGATTTAAAAAATAACATCTTAAAATAAAATATAGATTATATTTTAATTATATCAGAATCTATCTAATACTTGATTTTTTAAAAGAAAAATTCAAAACAAGAATTAGATTATCAGAGATATATATTTAAATTAAGCAACTTATAAAATATTATAATATAAAAAAATAAAACAACTAAAACATACATTTTTTATAATTTAGGTGTACTAAAATAATTATTTAGAAAAGAATAAAAATAAAATAATATGAGATAAAAAAAATATTGTTAATTTTGAAACCCAGAGTAAACTAAAATAGGTTGCTTAAGGTACGTCATAGACAGACACTCTATTGGATGTGGTAACGGTGCCAGGCACTTGGCAGTAACAACGGTGCTTCTATTTTTCTGGGAGAAATTAAAAGAAAAATCCAAAGATTTCTTGAAGTATGTGACAGACACTCTTATATTGGTTGTGATAACGGTCACAGACATTTGTATTTGGAGTAAGTAAAAAAAAAAAAAAGAATCACGTGAATCGGTTTCTTAAAGTCTGTAGGTCAGACAGTTGTATTGGCCATGGTAACGGTGCATTGTTTTTTCTTGAAAAGCCAAAACTAGAGAGCAGATAGGTGAGAACAGGTTTGGTACTTTAAATATACCTCAACTTATTCATTTTATGAGAGAAAGAAATAGCATATCTCTTTAGGGAAGAGAAGAAGAACAAGGGAGAATTGTTTGCCTCGTACGTGTTCTTTTTTAATGGTAAGTTATATAGTACCTCCTTAATTTCTTAATGCATAAATATTCTTTTTGCATAAGGTGCTCATGTCTTTTGGTTTTTTGTGTGCTTAAAGCATGTATTTTTATTATTTTAGAATGGTGCTGCTATATATGATTTTGGGATAAGTAACATTTGGATTACATATGTGAATAAATATTCCATAACCGATTTGTATGTAATTTAAATTTAATAGTTATGTTATTCTTAAATTACGTTTTCATGTGTAAAGTTTAAATTGGTTATGATGTTCAGTATCGAATATGAGTTTTTGGTCAATAATGTTAAGACATTTTTAAAGTTAAAAATTTGTTTGTTCAACTTTTCTAATGAGGTTGAAATATGAGATTCAGAAGGATATTTTATAAAGGTGATATGGAGAAACTTGTCATCTTTATATTTGTCAATAAACATGATGATAAATTCTTTATATTCTATTTCTTTTTCTATTTGCGTTCTAAATTGATATTATATCCTTGAGTTCATTATGAAAAATGTTTATGTTTGTAGAAAAAAAATCTACTAATCTTCTATATTGTTATGCCAACAAATTTAGTTTTAAGCCTGTTGCAGAAATATTTACAGTTAAGAGGTTGTTGATTTATGAATAAATAATGTCAATTACCATCAAATAAAACTAGTAAAAAATAAGTATGGTATTTTTTTATCTATCTCATTTTCAAAATATGTTGTTTAATTAGGCAAAGTTATGGCAAGTTAATGATAATAAAAAAGAATGTGTTTTATTTCAATTTAAATAACATAGACCATCAACCATAAGATCATTTAAAAAAAAAAAAAACTTCTCATAAATTAAAATTAAACATATTTTCTATTTATCATCATCAATTTACCATGAATTTTCACAATTAAACATAAGATTTTAGAAATGTGATAGACTCCAAAATTACATATTTTCTTTCACATTAAGTTCTTTTGATGGTAAAACAACAATGTCACTGATATTATTTAATTTTAAAATTTCTGAAATTTTCTTAACTGTGAGTATTTCTGCAACAGACTTAAAATTAAATTTATTGGCATAATGATATATCAGCAGGTTTTTCACTTTTTTTTTCTATAAACAAATTATTTTGTAAAATGAATTCATGGATATAATATACCAGTTCAAAATACAAATAAAAAAAAGAAAATAACTGTCAAAAACTACAATCAAAATCAGGTTGATGAAATATACTTCTTAACCTCAATCCATTAAAAAAGTAAGATGAATAGATTTTAAAAATTCTTATAATAAAACAACCCCTTCACCATTCTAACTTTTCAGCTTCCAAAATTTCTTAACCTTGCCCAAAACTCATTTGCTTATCACAACATTATAACCACTTTTCTCTTTAATATTAGATAAAACAAATATCAAACATTACAAAAGTAGAAATATTTCATATAATCTATTTGCATATAATTTGAATTTAAAAGATATGTTATAATAGTATTTATTTTCTCTCCTTGTATAATTTAAATTTAAAAGATATTCTAATGATATTTATTTTCTATTATATTGGAAACCATATTTTTGTTCCTTTTTTCTCAACATATGAACTGGATCAGACCATACCCTAGGATGAGTTTGGAAGAAGT